CAAAAGATGTAGGGAGGCGATTCAGGGCCCGCCCTCTATCCGGTGCCTGGGAAAACTGTCCCGATTGTACCCCACTATTGGCGGACGTGCCTCCATGTACAGCCCTGTGAAAATGTCTGCCTCCACCCCTGTTAGAAATGCAGTGGAAATAATTTGGCCAAATAAAACGTGTGAATGAGAGTTTTTAAGGAGTGAAATACGAAACATTTTTACTGAGACGCTTTGAAAAAGATCAGATTAATGTCAAAAAGGTAAAAAAGATAAAACATTAGTATGTAAAATGGCTCCTACGACCTCACATTTATAACTTTTTTTTTAGAAAACAAGAAATGTTAATAGAGAAATAGAGAATAGAGAAATGTGAGTCTTAGTTCCTGTCTTTAGTTTTCATTTATCACACTGTTAGTGAGCGATGATGAGGTTTATATTCAGCCAAAATTTACATACAGCAAATCTTTGAGTGTCTGATAGTTAGCAGGAACATTCCCAACAGCAGCAGCTCGTCCAGCACACAGGATGAAACATTTACTGTCATTCACCAAGATACACAACAATTACAGACATATAGAAGTTAGATTTGTCCATTTGGATCAGTTCATTATTGTGTAATGGTAGAAATCTATATTCTAGAGAAGGATCAACTTCCCACTTTAAGCAACCAGCGCTTTGATGACACAGGTTATATCTGCTTAAAATGACCCAATGACCCACTGCAAAGGTGAATTGTCTATGCCATGCTACAATGTCGATTCAGAAAAAGATATTGAAATGTTTGAAAGGTCGGATACAGGCGAGAGCGTATCGGTAGACGGAGACCAACAAGACCTCCCTCATCCTTGGCCCTATCTCAGAATTTATAGAAATAGCCTAAAAATTGAGCTTTCAATTCATATAGTGGCATCTGGCTGTTTTTTTTTAAGGTTACTTTATACTTTTATGCTTTAAGTAGTTTTTGGAGCACATACTTTTTCACTTTTACTTGAGTAAAGAGGTTAAGTGGATTCTTCAACTTTAACCAGAGTATTTTTAAACTGCAGTTTCTATACTTCTACTGAAGTAACAAACAAAAAAAAAGTGATTCTGTGACCAGTCTTGGCTCCTTGACTGAGTACGTTAAGCCGGTTATTACTAATTTAGGGGTTAAGATGGATGCTGGTCTTAAGATGGAAGCGCACATCAGAGCCGTTATGAAGTCCAGCTTTTTCCACTTAAGGCAGCTAGCCAAATTAAAACCCATTCTTTCAAAACAACATTTTGAAACAGTGATCCATGCATTTGTGACCACACGGCTGGATTACTGTAACTCACTTTATACAGGGGTCAGTGGTTTGTATATTTCCCAATTTCAGAGGGTTCCAAATGCTGCTTCACGTCTTTTAACAGATACACGAAAATTCGACCACATTTCCCCTGTTTTAGCTTCCTTACACTGGCTGCCAGTACATTTTAGGATTGATTTTGAAATTATTTTATTTGTTTTTAAAATTCTTAACGGCCTTTCCCCTCCTCATCTGTCTGAGCTGTTGCATTCTTATACACCCTCCCGTTCCCTCAGGTCAGCTGATCAGTTGCTTCTGAGAGTCCCAAAGACAAAATGCAGCTCAGAGGAGACCGTGCTTTTTCTGTGGCAGCTCCTAAGCTGTGGAATGATCTGCCTCTGAGCATAAGACAGGCCTCTTCTCTGGCTGTTTTTAAGTCCCTTCTTAAGACTCATCTTTTTTTCCTTGGCTTTTGGCACAATTTGAGAGGTCTCACTTTGTTTTATTCTCTACTAATATGTATTTTACACTCGTTTATTTTTTTTCCTATTTTATTGTATTTTATGATTGTGTACAGCACTTTGGTCCTGTCCGATGCATAAAGTGCTTCATAAATAAAGTTAGTATGGTATGGTATGGTAACAAATGTGTGAACTTTTGACACCTCTGCCTCTAACCCAAACTCCTAGCTGTAGTAGACCAGTTGCACAGACACCAGTATTAACCAGCTCCCGTATGAGTTCACAAACATGATGCAGGAATTGCAGGAGGACAACAGGCGGCTTCAGTTGATGGTGAAATACATTAGGACTCAGATGGATTATAACACTGTTGTGTCACAATCTGCACAGCTTTCAACCCCATGCACCACAGTCCACATTAGCGCTGGGTAAAAATATTGATTTAATCGATTTTGGTTTGATTCCTTTAGATTTTTGCAGAATTGATGTGTAGGAAATGAGAACGATTAGTTTTATAGAGATGGGAGTGACGTTCACATTCAAATGACAGGCATGTGCAAATGCCGACCCAAGTAACACGCGGCTCAGCAAGCTGTCCCAACTCAATGTCTGGAACCATTTTGGATTTAAAGATAATGTGCCTCACATCTCGTGCTACAGACCACAAAGATTACTTCAAGCCAGTCAGCTGTAAACATAGCAAATAGGTTGACTGAAGACATCAACAGATGGGGCCTTATCTGCACAAATAGGGTTTGTTCAGTGAAGATAATGCAGCTCATGCATGTCAGCTGATTCCCCGCTGTGTCACGTCTGCTTGCTCATGTGATGCTTCACTTTTTCACTTTTCACAAACAAGTTTGTACTTTGTTCACAAGTTTCAACTGTCTGATTTACAAGTTTGCACTTTGTGTTTAATATGACAGGAAAAAATAAAATAAATGTGTATTTTAAAACACAGTTTAACCATTTTCATTATTGTAAAAACAGATTGAATCAAAATTAATTGATTTAGAACTGTATGAATCTAAATTTATTCGATTTAGGACTTTGGCGAAAACACCCAGCCCTAGTCCTCACCCTTCAAACTCAAGCTGCTCTCTACAGAATCCCTCAGGTCTACAATTGCAATCAGGGAATATCAAATATTTGGGAATTACTGTGTCATCTAAATTAGCTGAGTTACCAAAACTCTTCCCTTTAAAAAAAAATAGAAGAGGACCTAGAAAGATGGAAATCATTTCCGATCTCCCTTATGGGTAGGGTAGCCTCAATTAAAATGATGGTCTTACCCAGAATTAACTACCTATTTTCAATGATCCCTAATAAACCATCAGCTGACTGGTTTAAATCTCTAAATTTCTTTGGAAGGACAAACCCCCTCGTATCAGCTTAAAGACATTACAGAAAACTAAAGACAGAGGGGGACTAGATTTACCTAACTTCCAAAACTACTATTAACAAATAGATTAGAATACATCTCTAAATGGATAAAACATAATGCCTTAGATGAGCCCTGGATAGACACAGAACAGGAAATATGCAGTAATATCATCATTTCAGATTTGCTGTTTATTAGCTCTAATATAAAGCGGCACCCATGTTTTAAAAATATTAACATCAGCTCTCCCCTGACAGCATGGTGGGAATTAATTAAAATGACGAAGTCGTCACTTATCCCGAGCACATTGGGCTTTTTGTTTGCCAGCATGTTGCTGACAAACCTGCTACTGTCTCTGGCTATAAGGACGTCTTTGTCTTCCTAGAAGACGACTGTGGACCCATTCCCGGTTGCTGCCTTCACAGAGAAAATGTTCTGCAGTCACGACGGTACACACAGAGAGTCTCTCTGTTTCGTCCACTGCTGTCGATGAGGGTAACCACTGCAGTGCCTCTCTGTTGAGCGACGCCGCTGCTTCTGGTGCCATCAGCCAACGGACCAGACCACTGACCACTAGCCAGACTAGGACTGACATGTGACATTAAAATAACCTAAAAACAATTTTTTTTCCCTTAGTTAGAGACCGCTTTACGATCACAAAGGAGAATGGAAAATCCTCTGTTCCCACAAGTCAGTGAACGCAGCGTCCACTGTCCTCCAGTCTGTGCAAATGGATTCATGCTTGCTTATGAAGAAATGCATTCATTGATACATAAGGAGTCAAAAAAGTGTTCAAACTGCCATAATGTTTAACTTTACAGAATTTAATGGATTTAATGAGACAGATACACACAGAGGCATTTATTACTGTAAAGTAAAAAACAACAGATGATACGTCAGTTATAGATTTAACCCTTTAAAATCTCACAAATGTGTCATTCATATAAATTCAGCTCCTTTATTCTAATACCCCTAATGGAAACCCGTCAGCAGCAGATTGCCTGAGAAGATAGCCAGTCCAGAGTCCAAAGGTCAGTCAGTATAATCCCAGCCGGTCTGTTTGTCTCCTCAGAGGTTCTTCAGAGAACATTAGAAAACAACCAGCATCATAGAAACCAAAGAACCCTGCAGATGGTTCAGGGGGGAAGATCTAGATCAGTTTAGAGCAGCGGTCGCTACTAGAAGCATCTCCAAAGCTTTGAACATCTTCCAGAGCTCTGATCAATCCAGTATCTGAACATGAAGAGAGGATGGAGCACCTGCAGACCTACCAGGACATAGACATCCACCCAGACTGACAGGCTGGAGGAGGAGATCAGAGAATCAGCAACGAGTTACCTCTGGAGGAGCTGCAGAGGTTCAGCTAAGGCGGGAAAATCTCTACTATGTTGACAGAGAAACAGAAGAAGTTCTGTTTGTAAGAAGCCATGATGCAGAAACAGCAAACAACAAGTTTCTCTGCTCAGATTTAACAAAGAAACTCTGATTCACGTCTACAGAGTAAATGTTACAGTGTTAAAGTAACACTTTAAGAGTAGATTTGGTCCCAGACTAAGTCATAATGGGACTAAATGTACACTGCAACATTTACTGTGCAGAATGCATCATGTGGAGGAAAAAACAAACTGAGACACGGCAGGATCCTGAGCTCCACCTCTTCTGTCTAAAACAGACCCTAGAAAGATGGTGGGACGTCAAAACTGAGATCCTCTGCCATCAATCAGATGCAGCTGGAGTTGGTCAGTTGATCACAGATAATAGGGGCGTATTTTCTGACCCCATGATGGGTTTTCCTCCAGAGGCTGAGGACTACAGCAGAAGGCAGAGCTATAGAGCATCAGTGCTCTGCTGTCCAGACTATGTGATACAACATGAAGCATGTTTTTACCTTTAAACTACTTATTTTTATTTTTTTTACAACATTACATCAAAATATATAAGTCATCTTTGGTTAAGATTAAAGTCTTGCAAATTTAAAATGGAGTTTAAGTTTGAGCAGGAGATCAAGAGATCAATTTCTCTCTTATCTGGAACATGAAACTATTGTGGAGGAGGTCAGAGTTCAAGCAGACCTGCTCCATGAACGCTGAATAACCTGAAGTTACCTGGGTAGATTCGTTGTTCTGCTCTCGGACATTTACAGGAAGTCCTGGTGAGGTTCTGATGACAGTAAGAGCTTTGCTTTAAGCATCATCTCCCTCAGGAGCTGTGGTCTGACATGACGGACTCTAACTACCAGAAAGGCTAAAGCAAAGACCAGCAGCGTCAGGCAAACTGGCAGAAGGATGGAGCCTTCCTTCAGACCTTCCTCCTCCTCTTCATCCAGGAGCTCTCCTGCCTCCTTCCTTTTGCTCTCTTCGTACTCAAAGTTTTCATCTGAATCCACGTCCTCTGCAGAGGAGAATAAGTTAGTCTGATCTATCAGCTACTGCAATCAGATTCTCATCAACAACTCCTGAGAGCAACAGACTCACCTGGAGGAGTAGTGTTAGGAGGTGGAGGAGGAGCAACATCCAGGTGGATGGTGCAGATGGGACCCTCTTCCAATTCATCTTCATCTGAGCTATTGTAGACCAGTCTACAGTGATATGTTCCAGTGTCATAAGTCCTGGCGTCGTCTAGAACCAAAGACACGTCTCCCTTCTCCATGAGTCTGTCCTGCAGGTCCACCCGGTCCCAGAAAGAAGGCTTCTGGTAGGATTTATCAATCTGCTCGTCTCGATAGAGAAGGACGAATTCATACCCCAGATCGTCTCTGCTCCACTCCACAGCGACGGCCGTGTAGTTGAAGGAATGTTGGCATGGCAGAACGACCGTCTGTCCGGCTTCAGCTGACACGTTTTTATGGACTGCAGGAGAGGAGACAGCAAACAGCACAGAGGTCAGAGGTCAAGGTGGAGCTGTGATCCTCCACCGCTGCTTCAGAGAGAAGACAGGGACACCAGGAGCCACCAGTGGCCACGCTTCCATGGCCAAAGTATCACTGGATTGAAATGTTAAAATGTTGAAGAATAACAGTTTCTACAAGTTTTCAGAATAAACGGACAATCAGACTAAAACGTGAAAAGATGCCAGTCAGAATATTCTGATTCAGTAGGAATGGATGAAACTGTAATCTGACTGAGAGGATTGGTTCCTGCTGATTAACCATCCAATCAACATGTGAACGCTGCAGGAACCAGTTCTTCTGAATGAGTCAAACTGATCAGAGGGCCGTTACGCACGTCAGCGTGATGCATGTCCACCTAGAGTGGCTAATCACTCTGGCTAGCTGTTATCAATATATTTCTGTCTGCAGGTTTACAGACACCGTGTTTCATCCCAGTTTCTAATGTCCATGTAAACATTACTGTCTGATTATTATTATCATGCTTTGATTTCAAACACATTTCAATGCAGTCATGAAATGTTGTCTATGTAAACATAACAGTTTATAATTTCATTCTGAATCAGGATCATAATATTTATGTTTACATGAAATTATTTTTTTATTTTTATTTTTTATTTAACCTTTATTTAACCAGGAAAGTCCCATTGAGTTAAAGTAACTCTTCTTCCAGGGAGTCCTGGCCAAGAAGGCGGCTTAAAAAGTTACATTAACATAAAACCACAGGAGACAAGACAACCACAGCTACATACCATCTAGGCAAAATTAAACACAACACAACAAGATTGGGCATACACATACAACCAAAAAGCAAACAGCAAACAAGGCATCCAATCAAAAACAGTTGCATCTGTCAGTGAATGATGATTTTAACAGGTCTTTAAAAGAATTTATGGATGGAAGTACTTCAAGATTTAAAGTGGCTTGAAGTTCATTCCATGCTTTAGGTGCAAATGATGAAAATGCTGTTTTTCCTAGTTCAGTTCTTGTAAATGGAGTATGTAAAAGTATTTTTTCTGATGACCTAGTCCTGTAAGTACTATCTCGAATGGAAAGTAAATTACAAATGTATAAAGGTAGTTTACCCATAAGGGCTTTGGCAATAAAAGTCAGTACATGAATTTTTCTCCTCATGTAAAGAGAAGACCACTGTACAGTTTCATAGAGAGTGCAGTGGTGAGTCCTAGCTGATGCACCTGTGATAAAACGTAAGGCAGAGTGGTACAGTACATCCAGTTTTTTAAGTAAGAATAAACTGGAGTGAATATACAGTGTATCCCCATAGTCAAGCACTGACAGGAATGTGCTCTGAACTAGCCTTTTCCTCGCAAGATAGGGAAAGCACTTCCTCATTCTAAAGAAAAAACCCAACTTTGGTCTAAGTTTCTTACAGAGGCTCTCAATATGGACACCAAAGGACATCTTATCATCCAACCAGATGCCTAAATACTTGTAAGATGATACTCCTTCTATCTTACAAGTATTTAGGCATCTAAAGATTTCAGTTGGCCATTTATTCCTATTACTAATATTCATGTAAATGCAGCTAAAGACACGACTGATCATAATTGACTCCTGAGATCTCTCGGTATTGATGCAAACACAAGATTATTGTAACAACATATTATTTGATTTTTTTTATTATTATAGTTTAACATAATATGGTTCCCCACAGTGGGGAAATCCAGGTGTGTGAACAAAGCAAATAGGTATTAAAAGCATCCAGTGACATAAAAGATAAAAAAAATGTTGAAAAGAAAAGAAAAAACAATAAAGCAAAGGAAAAAACATGTTTTTTTCTGTTCTGACAAACCAGGAATGTTAAGCTTTTGGTAAACAAAAATCAACCAATCACACACAAAAAAAGAATAAAAATGAAATAGCTGCATGGATTTTAAAGAAAAATGTCTGAAAGCTGAGAAACTAACAGCAGATATAAATAATTTATTGGGGCTATTGGAAGCAGGGTTTGCCTGCGAATGGGAGGAAATGAGGAAAGATGTGCGCTAGTGTTCCTCTGTGCACCAATAGTGCAGCAGTTATTTGTTATTTTAAGTCTTTGTCATCATGAACTGATATAATCTAACTGTGCTCCTTTAAACAAGCTCAACATTCGATTATAAGGCAATACTTGGAATTCTGCATGGGTTCTAAAGTTGTTGAGAAGTGTTGACTTCTAAAGTCTCAGCTCACTGAACCCCTTCACACCCATTGTTGCAAAGATGCAACAAACCTTCTGTATTACGTAGACAGCCAAGGTAGCTTGGTCATTCCCCCAGTGTCAAATATTTCACATTCAGCTTGGACCCAAGAACAAACTCTAGTTTCTGTTACAACTTGTTCCTTTAAGTGTCTATTATAATTGACCATTATAGATGTTGCCACAAATGTTTTATTTCCCTACATTTCTATTGTTTTTTTTGTTTTTTTTATAAATTGAAAGGTTAAACATTTCAATTAGGAAACTAGTTTAAAGGGAACATTGATTTTTATACATGTTTATATATATGTGCACATAAATTTGGACATCAAATGGTTAATATGTTGCTTCTTTTTGTCCTTTCTGCTCAAAATGAACCGAGTAAAAAACTTCTGTTCACTCCATCAGCTTGAAACTAACATCATCTTGCTGAAAGATTTTAAATGCAAACAAAACTTCTGATTTTCGTAACTTTGCCAGTTTTTTCATCATTTGTTGTTGAATTTTTCCCTTTAACTGTGCAACTATGATTGTGTTTCTCTTGTTAATCAAAAACATAGACTTTATCCTATAAAATAAGGTTTAAATGAAAAAACAAAAAACAAACATAAGACGTTTTTAATTCTTCTGCGGGAATGAAATGACTGACTATCAAACCTCCGATCAGCAGAGGGCTGCTGGATCTGGTTCTGCTGAAGGTTTCTTCCAGGTTAAAGGTTTGTTTTCTCTCCACTGTGGATACATTGTCATGTAGGACGAGTAAATCCTGCAGAATGAACGACTGGATGCTATCAGTCGGGTTTTTCTTTGAAAAATTAAATGTCTTATTAATTTGGCCTGAACCAAATATTTATTTCTTGTTTTTTGAATAACAATCTTTCAGATCTTCTTCACAGTTCAGAGTGACCTGCCCCCTCCCTGCAGTACTGATGGCAGTGGCAGCTGGCCAATAGAGGACGCTAAAGCGCCGGGTCACTCACCCAATGACCTTAATTAGGACATTAAAAAAAACAACTAAATATTCAAATTGCCCATAGACTTTGGTTAAAAGTTGTCCATGCAAAGCCGCTCCTCTTCAATGCTAAGATAGGAGCATCCTGGGGAGCAGCTCTCTGCAGCCAGAGCTGAAAGCAAATTTATTTGCTCACCACCTCCCACCACAGCGCTGATGTCACAGTCACCTGTTAGAAAGTGAGGCAGATTAACAGGTTTATAGGATTATTTAGCTACCAGGCTTTTCTAACTGCATGAAGCGAGGCTAACGCTTTATTCTGCTTTTCTTGGCTCCTTTTTCAAAATGTCAGGATCTGATCCAGCATGGGTTAAGGCAGCTAGGACTGATTTAAAGCACTTTTCAGAACATTTTAGAATGTTGTTTAAATATACTGGTGTGAAACCTTAGTATACATTGTTTGGTTTTTGGTTCTTGTCTTTTTCGAAGTTATAGGAGAAAAGTCCAACAGCCGCCACTGCCTGAAATTACATTTCATAGCTGTAAAGTAGTAGAAAGCAAAGTTTAAAACCCTTTGGTGCATAGCGGTCACTACAGTGGACAGATATTTAGATGTCATTGTTTCCTAAATGCAGTGGTTTGTGTGGTGGTATTGCATATCAGTCCTTAGAATGCTCTCTACTGCTCCCCTCCACTGAGGTTAATTCAGTGGCAAGTTGTTGTAACTACAAGTTAATGACATCGGAGTCCAAGATGGCCGGCAGACAGACACACTCAATGACCTCTCCTGGAATATTCTCTCAATCTTTCTATTCTCTGAGAATCCTAGAGATAAAAAAATATGCTGACATGCAGGAGCATCTAGGTAACAGTATTATTAACTTAGTTTGGAAAATTTTATTTCACGCAAGTAGAAAATTGCGATTAACCATGTGTCCAACACAGTGGACCTCATGCATTGCTGACTATATTTTTAACATGAGTCATGTAGTTGATTTATCTTTCATTATAACTGTTTTGCTTCCAATTAAATTCATTTTGAGTATAACTATGTTAGTTTTAAAAATAAACCTTGGCATCTATGGCACAGATACATGCAGAAAAAACAGATTGAAAGGAGTAAGTCAGAAACCTAAGAGTGAAAAACTGAAAAAAGAAGGCAGAGGAGCCTGCTCTGTTGTCAGCACAAACAGTAACATCACTGTGACACGTTGGCTTGACAGCTCAGTCATCCACATGGCATCGACCTGTTCGGGTCAGTCCCCTGAAGACACGGCCCAAAGATGGCTGAAGAAAGAACAAGCCAAGATCAGTGTCCAAAGACCCTACTCGGTGGCCCTTTATAACCAACACATGGGTGGGGTGGATCTCGTTGACCAGTGTGTGGCAATGTATCCCCACAGACGTAGAAACAAGCGGTGGTACATCAGAGTGTTCTTTCATTTTTTGGATGTGACTGTTGTAAATGCCTGGCGACTCTACCTGATGTCTGGCTTGGAAAAGATGAATCTCCTCATCTTCAAATTTTCTGTGGCCCGTGTACTGATCAATTCTGGCTCTGGTCAGCAAAAAGGAAAAGGAAGACCCAGTGGAACCCCACCTCCAGCAAAGTGCAGAGCAGTGACCAAATTACCCAGGGAAATCAGGTTCAGCGCAGGAAATCACTGGCCCGAGCTCACCCAAGTCAAAAATTCAAACAGATGCCACGATGCTGCATGCACAAGGAAGACCAAATACATCTCATGCAGTGCCATGTAGCACTGTGCCCTGGATGCTTTGCCAATTTTCATGTAGCCTAGGAGTTAGGAAAATGAGGTAGGAGTGAAGTTAGAAGAGGAGTTGTTTGATGAAGATTGTTCTCTTGGTTTGGATTAACAGAGGGGCTATAGAATGTTAGAGTATGAAAGCAAGTTCAAGTGCTTTTCAAAGCCCACAATGAAATATGTGGTCATGGATTTATGATCAAACTCAGATTAAATTATTCTTCAGTTAAGTTTATACTGTTCTATGTTGAGTGCTGAAGCGCATGTAGTCCACTGTAGTGGACATTTCTGTAACTTCCTGGAATAATAACATTTTTGAAAAAAAAGTTTATATTTGTTTTTTTCATGCCCTGAAAAGAGTAAAAACACATTTAAAAAAAATCTTGTCTCAGGGATTCATAATTCATGCATCAGAGTGTATTTTTATGTCTTTGGCTTCAGTAATTTCTCTTGATTTTAAATGAAATCCAGTCAATTACAGTAAAAATGTAGGTAAAAAGAATCTAAAACCTGCCTTCATGATATGGTTAACTGTAAAGGGCCCTGAGATGTTAGATGATATGTTGTGAATTGGTGCTATATAAATAAACTAAATAATATTACCTGAGTCGTATCATCTGGTTTAAACTCATTGTTCTACTTGATATGGAACCTTTTCATGAAGAGCTTTTCTAATGTTTCTATGTTTTAGTTGCAGTTTTGTTGAATTAAAGCTGTAGAATAACAGGAGTCAGAGAAACTCACACTCAGACCAACAGAGGACGGTTTCTGACAGTAGAACCCAGCTGATGAAGAGCGATGAAGCAGACATGGTGGTTCTCAGAGCTGCTGGAAGGCATTTAGATCAAGTCAACCAAGCTGTCAGGTCATCTAAAGGAACAACATGGTTTTACATAGCAGAAACTGACTTACCATGTGACATGCCTCAACGTGTTATGAATGAATGCTGTCTTCATAAAGTGAACTTTATGTGGAAATAAACACCTTTTTTGTGTGTCGCTGTTTTTCGGTTCAACAAAGGTCTCGTCTGTTGAACTGACTGACTGATCAGTGATCTAGAAACAAAGTCTTATTTACATACCTGTTAGTTGCTTTTTCTGCCAAACAGGCTGTGCAAGACGAACTACCACAGGAGAGAAAAGAAGTAAACAACAAGCTGAAAGAATTCTCTATTTATAACCCTATTTGCCACAATCACATTTCCCTGCAGCCAGAATGGACCAGACCTTCTCAATGTGGAGTAGGAAAGGTTTAACAATATGTTATAGCTTTTACATTGATGATCTATTTGGCAATTCTACTGACTTCTCGGAAAAAAGGAACTTCCAGCGATCACTGACTTATTCAGATATTTTCAGGTACGTCACTTTATTCAAAGCCAGAGTCGTGTTTCCAGCTTTACCTGCAGACTCAGGACTTAAGAGCATCTTGCGTGCTCCTCTGCAGCACAAGGGACAGATCTCAGTTATCTCTAATATCATAACTACTCTTCAAAAACTCGTTTGCTGTTAAATCTGTGGAAAATAACAGCCCACGACATGAATACGATTATTGAAACCACCTTCAAAGAAAGCATAGTTATTCTAAAATAGAACATAAGTAAAAAGTAAAATAGTTATAGAAGTTTGAAGCCTATAATGGTTGAAGATCATGAGGTTTTGAGCTAGGTATATGTGTAGGCTCCAGCCGGCGTGGTTCTTTTTTTTCCTTTCTGACAGGATAATATTTGTGGGGAGAAAGGTAAATGTATTGTTGACATTTCTATCTAAAGCAAAGTTCCTTAAAAGAGACAAAATAAATGTCAATCTTTATTAAGGAATAAAGTACAAAACAATATAAAACAAACATTTTTCAATAGACAATAAACAACTGGCATTATAAAAGAAATATATCAAATTAAAAACTGCTTTCTTGAGAAAAGTGGGGAGACTAAACTGTGCATCTGGTCACGTCTTCTTACACCAAGGAGTTCTGACGTTGGACAACTGCTCCAGTGGTGCAAATGCTATCGGAGAGACAGAACATTATCCCACTAACTGGAAATTTGACACATCACTAAAACCATATAAAAACAGACTAAAATCTATAATTACCAATCAGGATAAATAGGAATCACAAAGAAAGGGTGTGGAGCATAGTCAGGTGATATTAGTGACACCTTCAATGTAAACACTACTTGACATAAAAAAATACCTAAACTAGTATAAAGAAGATCATGAAGGACTCCAGTCATCCTGAACAGAGACTATTTCAGCCTCTCCCATCAGTCTGGAAGCTGAGATGGGAAATTGCCTTCATCATGTGCTGACTTCATGGCCTGCAGTCGTTGAATAATCACTTTACTTTCCAGCATGTGGCAACTGTTGTGTATGGATGTATAGTGTATATAAACTTCACTTCCCATAATGCCGTGCTTTTAGGCGGGGGGTACATAAGGTGAGCTCCCCCCATTCAAGGAACAACAGCACAGACAGCCTTCCTGTGTTATTATGCAGTAGTTTAATAAAACCAAGTGGAGTGTTCAGTAACTTCCTATCCGCCTCCATCTATCTGTGTGCGTGACCTCACTCAGACACAACAACAACCAGGCCACTGCATAAAATAAACATACTTATAACAGTGGAAACTAAAATAAAGAACACTATAAAAACATGTTTCTCAAGAGATCTTTGCCAATAAGCAGGGATATATAATTTAATAAGAATGCTGTAGGGGGAAAAACAGGATTGGTAAATGACATAACTTCTTAGTAATGTCCAGGGAACGGAAAGTAGCAAATTACATTTACTCACGTTACTGTAATTGAGTACTTTTTATGAGTAATTTGTATTTTTATGAGTAGTTTTTGAAATATGTAATTTTTACTTTTACTCGTGTAAATTTTAACCTAAGTAGTTTTACTTTGCTACATTAAAAAACCCCTCTCGTTACTGAGTAAAAAATATATCCATACTGATGGTAAAAAAAAAATGAAATGTTGCTGGAATTTTAAACCCCTGTGTCACGGAACCGAATCTTAATCCGTGGCCCTGCCTTGCAATTACTCTTTGTATTGTCTTATAATCCAGCCATATTTGACGGATTATTTGTTTTCAAATGCACAAAAGGGAACAATGTGATAATGCAGTGCAACCTGAGCCTGACCAGCAAAACGGAGCTTTTAGCTTTTAAAACATCAACATCCAATTTACGAAAAAATGTGGCGCTAAGTTAGCCCATGTCTTGGCTTGTTAGCAGTTGCTTAGAATTAGCTAGTTCGGAGTATCAAAAGTATGATTGAGTAGGAAATGCAAGCATTACAGGTATTGATGTTCTCTTAATGTGGCGATAAATAAAATAGAATGTTATGTTGTTTTCAGCATTGACCTGAAGTCCCTGAAGTTCCTCCTCCTGGCACTCCTCCGGTTCCTCCCTCCATCTCTCTCTGGTGTTCTGTGAACTTCAGGTTCAGCATTAAACTGTTGAACTCCTTCCCACACATTAAGAAGCTGTCTCTGAAACTCAGCACAGGCCTTCCAGCCTCAGATGCCTGTGAGAGGCTTTTTAGTTCAGCCGGGTTGCTCTGCACAAAGAGAGCAAAACTTACAGCAAAAAACTTTGAAAATCAGCTGCTGCTGAAATTGGACAAGAGCTTTATTGGTCTAAAGTTGTAGATTTGGGGCAGTTTTTTTTTTGGTTCCTGTGGACACTATTTTTAAGTTAAATCCTGTGAGCACTTTCTTTCAAATAGTTGGATCCTGTGAGAATTTTGTTTTATTGTGAACAGTGGGATCCTGTGGCATTTTAGTTTGATTTCTGGTATCTTTTAGGCAATTAATTTTGTGTGCATTTTGAATACTTTAAAATGTAGTTTAAACTTATTTATTCCTATCATGGTGTTGTCTGTTGGACAGTAGGATTGAAAATAGTTTGCACTTTATGGTACAGGTTGTGACTGTCCTTGTGCTGTGAGGAAGTATGTATCTTAGCCCAGCTGGTGTTTTGCAAGTGTGGATGTTCACTGAAATACGCCTTGACATCGATTAAAACACCTTGTGCTCAATTCGATTCATGACTCATAATTTTTTGCATTAAATAACTCAAAGTAACTAAGTAACTTTTACACAGTATGAACCAGCAAGACTTAAGTTCCTGATCCAGTCAGTGTATGATGTCTTTCCAAGTCCATCTAACCTTTATACCTGGGGCCTTGCAGGAGCACCAACATGCCCACTGTGCCCGGCTCATGGTTCCCTGGAGCACATCCTGAGCTGCTGCCCTAAAGCACTGGGAGAGGGAAGGTACACGTGGCACCATAACCAGGTGTTGAAGGCAGTAGCAGACACCATCTGCACTGGAATCCTGGAGTCAAAGCACCAGTCCCCTTTGAGGCACAATACCTTCTTTGTCAGGGCAGGGGAGAAACCTGAGAGAGCAGGTAGGGGCACATCTGGACTGCTAGCCGTGGCTCGGGATTGGCAGTTGCATGTGGACATTGGAAGGCAGCTAAAGTTCCCAGAGCACATTGTAAGGACGTTACTGAGACCAGATCTGGTCTTAACATCTGACTCAACGAAGCAAGTTGTGTTACTGGAGCTTACAGTCCCCTGGGAAGACAGGATGGAGGAGGCTCATGAAAGGAAGAGGGCGAAGTATCTTGAGCTGATTGAGGCATGCAGATGCCGTGGATGGAGGGCCCGCTGTGAGCCAATAGAAGTGGGCTGCAGAGGCTTCCTAAGTCAGACTGTGCATCGGGCATTCAGGCTCCTTGGCATCAGAGGGTTGCTTGAGAGAAGAGCCACCAGAACATCAGTGAGGCCGCTGAGAAAGCCTCAAGGTGGCTGTGGATCAAGAGGGGAGACGCATGGAGTAGCGCACTGCTTGAACACAAACTGGGGCCTGATCAACCCCGGTTGGGTCGCCCAGACGAGGGTGTCTGAAGATCAAAGACCCGAAACACCCTATGACCCTGGGTCCTTCACTGACGATGTGTTCAAGCTGCACCGGCTAGGTGTTTCAAAATCTACACAAATTACATGTTAAATTAAGTAATTTTGTACTTTTACTTGAGTACATTTTGAGATGGGTCATTTTACTTTTACTCTGAGTAGAATTTAGGCAAAGTAAAGATACTTTTACTCAATTACAATTGTTTAGTACTATTTCCACCTCTTGTAATGTCATTGATTATTAGTAGAAATATATTAAAAAGACTTGCATTCTTTCCAGTGTTGGCAATGACATGTGATTCACTTTTGTCCCAGACTAAATTGCTGAGAAGACTTTAGAGGATCATAAACGGCGTGAGACAACAAACAGCTGCAGTGACATTTTTACAGCATCAGCAGAAGTTATTCTGAGCTCTAATTTCACTTCTCTGATCTCTTCAGACCTTTTGCTCACTTCACTCCACGATAAGCAGCAGTATGATCTCCACCACATTAACAGCATTTCATTTTTACTTTTTACTCACACTTTCCATATTCATGCTCTCCAGCACACCTTCCACCTCATTGTTTTCCTTTATATGAAGCTGCTATATGACCAAATGTTTGGCATTTAAAACATCTCAGAGGCGGAGGATTGTACATTTTGACTGTGTAGCTCATATATCCAATGAAAACTTTCAAATTATAGATGCTCTTCTTCAAATTTGATCAGCACTGATAAGCTGTCGTATCTTTCTCCATTTCTTGTTATTAAAGGACAGCTCTGTGTTTGCACCTTGAAGTTTTCTCTCTCCGATTCTTTTTCTGAGAAGAGATCACTCTGGACAAACTCCTTCATAACACTTCATACCAAATCTATTAAATAACTATGAAACATGACAACAGATTTTGACAGACATTATAATCTTTTATGCAGATCAGAGACGTTGCTTAGGGTTACAGAAGGCAGTTGCTTAGCAACCGGCCTCACTTCTTGAGAAGTGGCAACAACAAACAGTTAGAGAATCATTTTATACACCTCCAGTCTGCCACATCATCATCATCCATGGCTCCAGCCTTATCAAAATATAACACTTTGTTCTTAGCTGAAGGACGTCGCTCTCATTCCGTTCCCAAACATTTGCCACTTGCAGAATGAAGAT